GTGCGTGTGTGTATGCTTAACCCTTTCTTGGCTGCTCGGATTTGTACCATGCTGAAGATCCTCACCAAAAAGCTCAGGAACCAGAGTTTGAACGAAATTCAACCTTTCCAGCTAAAGGTAAGAACAGCTGATTTTCTCTTGGTTGTTTTTTGCACCCTTCAGGTAACTAAATAACGGGGCCTTGAGGAGTTAGTAACTTGCAGTGTTTATTATGCTGGGCCGGTTTCTTCTCAGCCAGTGTGTTCGGTAGGAACTGGCCTAGGCTGTATTCCTGTTACTGAACTCCTATTCCTTTGCCCTGAGAGCCTGCACAATTCAATAGGTAATACAGAAAGGTGGATAAAGGCAGATATGTCTGTTTGTTTTTTAGAAGTATTTAGTGTTAACGGGGTTCACATTTAACTACATAAGCATTTGCCTGTCTGTCTAGCTACCTTTGTATGCATGCAACCTGTAGTCTCCCGGCCCTTGCTAGGCTAGAACCGCACTGTGCTAGGTACTGTACAAACATGATTTGCCTAAAATGCCTTTCAGCTTGTTATTTGCATTTCTCTCCATTCTGGTCCTGAAGGCCAGAATCTGAGCTGAAGTTTGCAGTCTGGCTCACTGCATTGACCTATGGCTTTCCTGACTCTGCTTACATCCTTTCTTAGTGCTCAAAAGAAAAATGAGGATCTCGGATTCAGCATAAGGAATATCTAAGCCATTCCTGCCAAATGCAAGGAGGAATTTTTTAGCCATATGCAATGGGATAAAAATGGAGTCACGATGAGTGAGCTACAAAAAATTACCAGATCCTGATTTGGCAAAAGTCTTGTGAACTAAAGGATACCCTCCAAAATCAGCAGTTACTCTGGATGGGCATCAGTGTGTGCCTGACCCCAAATCAAAGAAGGGAACTGGGAAAAGTAGCAGCTCTTGTTGCCCGAGTTGGGGGCTGGGGATCCGTATACCAGACTCTAGTGGAGTCTTTTGTATGTGTTACACAGAAGCGGATTGCCGTGTGGCTGCACTTCTGCGCAGTTACTCTGGACAGGCTGATGGTAACTTTGTTAGAAACAGTGCTGATGTTTCCTTAAAGTTTGCTGTGTCTGTGTACTTCTTCCTGCAGAGATTGGATGTTTTGCAGTTCTTGGGGGAGGCAGGATTAGATTTTATTTTTGGAAATAAAATAAGGGCAATGCTTTAGGTTGTAGTGCAGAATATCTCTGCAGAGGCAGTGGAAGATTTCTTTTGAACACTGTTTCTGGGCCTTGTGGCTGTGCCTGCCTCCTTTAGTTTTATTATTTGTCTCTTGGAGCCTCAGGTTGTGAAACTGTGAGAATCTTTGGAAGGAGCTCTCAGGGGTATATACAGTCTTCAGGATGCTTGGAGGCATGCAGGAAAACCTGCAGGAGTGGGTATCTGCAGCCATTTTGTTCATATTAGTGCCAAGGTTTTGTGCTGCAACAGGTGGTCTGCATTTTTGCAGGCTCAATAGAGAAGAGAGACTTAAGCTTGTGCTGTTTCCTGTGAGGTTAATCGATAGACCATCAGAGGTGGTGTTGCAGCCTGCTGTGGGGAGTGGTACAATGACTGGTATACATGTGTATAAGCAGAAAGCCAGACTTTCGAACTCTGGGCTTATATATGTTTTGTAGGCCTTTGGGGACCATGTGCAGCTGCCTGGTCTTGGTTGAGCCTTGCAACAACATATTAATCGCTTAACAGAATGTGCAGTGCTCTGTCTTAAGTGCTAGGACAGATCTCCTTGCAGGTGTGGACACGGGATAGGTGTGTCAAGCTGTGCGTGGTGTGGGAGATTCCGGTGGCTGTACTGTGTGTGGATGCTGTGCTGAGGCCAAGTGTCCTGTACCATCTCCCTCTGCTGCCCTTGGATGATGTGGGGCTGCCAGGCACAGACCGGACTTCTGCCTTCTCAGCTTCCTCATATTGGTCTATGCAGATCTGTATGTGTTCTGGCATGTATGGTACATGCATTATTTAAAAGGTCCAGTCTGCTATCATTGAAACTTAGTGAAAAGTTATTTAGGTGTGAGCATAAAATCAGGTCTGTAGTACTGTAAGTGGAGAATGAGCAACTGATTTGGATAGAATAAGAACTGATCTGCATCCACCACCCAAACCAAGAGCTTTCTGAGCTTTAAAAACAGTGTGCTTAGCTGCTTTTCTCCTTCATTACCCTCTTGCTTTTGCACTTTATGATCTTTGTTGGAAGTTGCCAAGTTCAAGGGAAAGCAAGCTGCTGCTGTGTTTCTGGGTTGCAACAGTATTGCTGTTTGGCAAAGTCCCGGAGAACCTCCTCCAGTAAACTGTCAACTTGTTTTTGTAAGCTTGGGAGATTTAACCAGCTTTGGCTTGGCATCCAAGCTTTGGGAATCTCTTCAGGATGAAGTTTCTGCCCACTGTAAAGATCTCATTTTGGTACCATGTGTCCCAAATTGGTTTAGTGTGGCTGTGATAGGTCTTCCTAGTCTTCCCCCACTTGGAGAAGCTGACAGGCTGCCATTGCTTCTGGTAAGTGAAACCAGGAAATACGCAAGCTTTGGGTGTTGATGTAATGCCTTTTTTTCCTTACTAAAGCTGGCCTTTAGGCAGTTGACCACTAAGGCGGCTCAGAGGGCTTTGACTTGAGAGGTCTGCTGGTTTGTGCTGGTGTTGCTGAAGAAGTTAATGTCCCCTTATTGCCCTTTCACCAGAAGTCACCATAATGGGAAGGGAAGGATTGACTGACTGAGATTTCACCTACTGTTGGGTTAGCATTCGCTGCCAGCACTTTCTGGTAAGGGTGCCTGGCCTGTGAAGCATGGTAGTTAGGGTTCAAATTTGAACCCTTACCCTTGGAAGACTGGTCCTGCTGACCTTGCTGTCTCCCCACTAGACACTTGTGCCCCTGTAGCAGAGGTGGCTAAGTGGCAGCGTGTCTGCTCCTGAGCTGTTGCAGTTCATAGTCCAGCCCATTAGCTTAGAGTCCTTCAGCTGCTGTGGCTAAATCCAAGAAAGGATTGTGAATTGGAGTCTTCCTTGTGCCTCAGCCTATTGTTCCACCTCTTGCTTCAGTGGTCTGGTATTATTTGCTATGGACTAGGCTAAATTCAGAAACCTCCAGTTTTTGACTGGCTGTTACAAATCAAGAGCAAAAAGCAGATCTGACTTTACAGGTTAGGGCTCATCTTTGATAACAGCTGGCAACTGGGTCTGTTCCACAGCAGACTTGGTGGGACAGGAAAGAAGAGTGAGAACATGAGATTGTCCCATACTGTAGTGAAATGCTTCAAATAAGGAAAGTGAGAGAGGCCTGTAACTCAAGGCTTCAATTTTTTGTTCGTTGTCTGATATTACAGTCTAGTACAGTTTTTAATTATTTTCTTTCATAGTTTTGGACTGATAGCCCAGAGAAGCCCTTCCTGAACTATAAGTCAAATTGTTCAAGGAGATTTTAAAATGTATATCCTGGGGTTGCGTGTGGGTTGATGTGATGGAGTACTGATATTGAGCCCTTAGAAGTACACCCCCAACCAACTTGGTGAGCTTTCTCCAAATGAAATGTCTTGTTCATCCTTGGAACGTGGGGTAGGGATTTCTCACACAAATGCATTTCTTCCAAATCCCTCTTCCACTCTTGTGCCTTTGCATATTTGTGTGGTGGCTAAAGTGGAGGTGTTGATTTTCTAAGCTTTGCTTGCAAGCAAGCTCCTTGGGGCAAGGCGCATCTGGTTGGAACAAGTCTGTGTGTTGCCAGTCAAACTAAGCTCTTAATTAGTGGCCTTAGGTGTTATCAGAATGAAACAGTTGGATTGTGGTGTGTTAATTTAAACTGGCTGGAACATGCAGCTGAAGAAAACTGGGCACTTTAAGGGTGGCAATTCCATTCCAACTTTGTTGTTGACACAAACAACTTTGGAAGCAATACAATTCATGTTCTAATCCACAGAAGTTGTTAAATTACTTATGTACTTGGCATATTCCTTTTTGTCCTGGGCAGAGGTAATTAAGAAATGTTTTCCATTTCCTTAATGTTGATCAACAAAATGAAGTCATGTGAGTCTGTTCTGGTGACAGAGAACTGCATTTCTCTGCTATGTAATTTAAGCCTTATGCTTGCTTACAAGGCAACTGTGGACTAGGCACTAACAAAGCCACTGTGTTGGCTTTCTTCGTATACTCTTGCAGCTTGTACATGTGCACACACAGCACTGGGACGAGCAAGTCATGTCAGTTATTTTCTGCTGGCATCTGCATCCAGAATCAGCTATGAGACTCTGGTCTGTCTGGCCACCTCTGATGAGTGACTGGGAATCATCCTGATCCTTCCTATACGAAGGGGTTTCAGTTGGCTGTGCAAAGTGAACCTCTGGCTTACAGGCAGTGACTTTCCTGGTGGTAGCTGGTTATTCTGCAAAGTCGGGAGCATGTTACTTAAATATTTTCTCCTTAGACCGAAAAAGAGTGAAGTAGCATTGTTATTATTGATGCACAGTGGGTGTGCTTTCAAAGATCTTGTAAGGGCTCATGCTTTGTATGAATGAGGACAGATGAATTTCCTTCTTTCTTTGGGTTGACTGCTTGTCACGTGCTCAGCCAGCCACTGGTCTTCAGGCTGGCTGAATGTAGCTTGGCACAGTGAAAACTGAGCTTTGTCTCCTGTGGTGTATGAAGGTTTTTCTCTCCTTCATGGGTTTTTTCAGCACGTCCACCAAACAAGTTCATTCCTCTAGGGCTGGAGGACTCTGCTTTACATCAAACCTTTGCTTTTCCTCCTATAACACCTGGTAACATTAGATGCTTCTGGTTTGTCTTAATCTCACTCAGGAGGGGCACAAGGACTTGCATTAATGCAAGTACAATTTTGGCTATTGGAGCATCCATGAATACGCCTAAAGTTAGGCTTGTGATAATTTAGACTAAAATTATGTTAGTGGGTTAGAAATACTGTGATAGATACTTGGCCAAGGCAAGGAACAGGCAATCCCAGCCACTCAGAAACCTTAAGTTTTTGAGACCTTAGCCTGAAGCATTATAAAATAACAGATTTGCAATTCTTTCTACTTGACTTCTATGGTCTGAATCTTCAAGGGCTGTCATTTTTCCTATGCAGACATCCAGCACTGATAATC